GCTTTTATCCACTCATCCATCTCGCAGGTCCTCTTCTCTACTGAAAGAGTCTTTCTTTTGAATCTAGCACATGTCTACTGTAAAGATCAAATGCAGCCATGCTTAAAGAGGAGTTAGATTTCTTCCTCACTTTTTCCTTCCAAGTGCCTTTCCCTGGGTTGTGAAATGCTAGCTGTGTGTCCTTTCCTAAGTTCTCGGTGCATAGTTAAGTCTATGAGTGTCGTGTTTAACACAACTGTGAACTTCAGAAGGTCACCAAGGAGACAAAACCTACACTTTTTTTTTTTACTTGAGAAATAACTTTTGGCTTATATTAAACGGAAAGTTTGTGTTATTGTGTAACTAGCATCTTGGGTGCTCTTCGAATCGTGCGGTGTGGTGTGGTGGAAAGTGTTGCTTCAGAAATATGAGATCGGAGATTCTCACCCTGGCTGCTGCATCATCTATGTTTTTAGACAATGAATCGTTGTGACCAGGATGTAAATCTCTTACATGTAAAGTGCAAGATTTTTACTTAATGCCGCTCAGGGCCATTTGAACTAAGAAATATATACACACATTTATTCAAATCTCATTATATTTTTTATTATCACTGTGTAGCAGCATCAGGAATTAGGTTTTTTTTTCTTTTTTTCTTTCTATTTTTTGTTTGTTTGTTTGTTGGAGAAAGGGTTTCTATTGTAGTTTTGTCTGTCCTGGAAATGGCTCTGAGGACCAGGCTGGTCTCAAACTCACAGAGATCTGCCTACCTCTGCCTCCAGAGTGCTGGGATTAAAGGTGAGTGCCACCACCGCCCCGCAATAGTTTTGTGTCAGAAGCAGAATTCAAACCCTTGGGTCCATAAGGAGATCAGAATCCCCAAAGAGGGAAGCTGAGCTGGAGTCTGGTGCATTAGATCACTCTGGTAGCCTAACATGTCCTTTTCTCTCTTTTTCTAAAAAATGATTTCCTTTTTTTATTTTATTGCTGTTTTGCCTGAATTTATGTCTATATGAGGGTGTCAAATCCTTTTACAGACATTTGTGAGCTGCCATGTAGGTGCTAGGCATTGAACCTGGGTCCTCTCAAAGAGTAGTCAGTGTGCATAACTTCCGAGTCATCTCCCCAACCCCAAGAGTTAAGAATTTTATACCCTTATAAATACCATTGGTAACATTGTTCTGGACAAATCAAGTTAGAATTTATAAACTTGTAAAAAAAATCACTTTTTGTGTTGGTAAAGGAGATTGGGAAAAGTCACTAAAACTGTGACTCATTGTCATGTTTACATTTTATCTGAAAGTGATCACAGTTTGGAATGGGTATGGTGTCATCATTTCCAGGAAAAGTGCTTTTACGCAACTTGGTTAAATCACGTATACTTGGGAAGTCACACGAGAGAAACTTACTTTGACTTTGGGTAGTTAATGTAAATTTGTGAGGTGTGTAGCCACTACCCTTCCGTGATAGATACAAGGGAGTTCCAGTCAGGGCACCCCACTTCCTGCTGAGACAGGTGTGCACTGAATAGCCCAAGTTGGCCTTAAACATAGCCCAGGCTGGCCCTAAACTCATAGAGATCTGCTCGCCTCTGCCTCCTGCCAAGATGTTTTTTAGGTATCTTGATTGGTAAAGAACAAATGCCAGTCAGCTTGTAATGATAATATAATAGAAATATGTCTAAAATTTGTAGTATATACTAGAAACGGTGCTGAACGTTATTGATACAGGGGAAATTGGGGTCCCCTTTTGGCTATCTCATCAATAAAAGAATTTAAGATTTGATTCAAATGGAATCACAAGGACAATTTTATTAGTTTAAAAGAAAATATCAGGGCCGGAAAGCTGTAGAACCTCAGCAGCTGCTCAGAGGAGGGGGATGGAAGAGAGAAGGGAAAAGCCATGCTGTGTAACCTGGCTGCAGGTCAGACACACGGCAGAGAAGCAGTCTCATGGGTAGGGTGAAAGCTTCAGAGCAAGAGTGAGGAAGCCGAAAATATTGGGGTGGTGGGGAGCCCAGAGTGTTAAGGAAACTATGCTTCAAAAAAGAGATAAAAAAGAGAAAAACGAAAACATATATTTTTTCTGCATAATTCAGAAAAGTGAGCAGAAAGTTAAGCCCCCCCTCCTCTCGCCATGTATACAAGTCATAAGTTACAGCGCCAGGTGCATGGATTCTGCTTAGGAAAAGTGCAGTATCTCACTAAAGGACTATTTATTCTGCCCATCTCTGTAGCATGGCTTAAGGTGTAGCATCCCTTCCTAGGGATGGTCCCTTAGCCAAAGTGATTGAACTAGCCCAACTGGAATGTTAAGTCTCCATGCAGACCAAAGACTCCATTCTATTGATCAGCCCCCCCCCCCTTTTTTCTACTCTAACATTAGGAAATGTTGGGGACCAGAGACAACAATCAGTAGCTGAATGTAATGTGATAAGGACTAGAACGGATATAAAAACATGTCATCTCAGAGAAGAGGCAAGTACTGATCCCATTTAAGACAGTTGAGAAGGGGATGAAGAGATGTTTAAGAGTGCTTGTTGCTGTTGTAGGTTTGGTTCCAGCACCCACAGAGTAGTGCAGAGCCATCTGTAACTCCAGTTCCAAGGAATCCAATGCCTTCTTCTGATCTCTGTGGGTACTTGTAGGCAGACACTCATATATTTTTTTGTTTTTTTTTTGAGATTTTATTCATTATTTTCTTTTTTAAATACTTATTTATTTATTATGTATACAATACTCTGTCTGTGTGTATGCCTGCAGGCCAGAAGAGGGCACTAGACCCCATTACAGATGGTTGTGAGCCACCATGTGGTTGCTGGGAATTGAACTCAGGACCTTTGGAAGAGCAGGCAATACTCTTAACCTCTGAGCCATCTCTCCAGCCCAGACACTCATATATTAAGAAGAAAAAAAATCTTAAAAAGTTGAGGAACACATTCCAGAGAAGTGGTATTTGGGCTAGAACTCAGAACAGAAGAGCAAGATCTGTGCTGTGGACACACATGTTCAAGAGCAGAAATAAATCTGGAAGTGAGTGTGGTTGCTTGTACCTGTAACAGCACTCAGGAAGCGGAAACAGGAGGAGCGACATGAGCTCAAGGCTAGCCTGGCCTAGGGAATGAGCTGCTGTCACAGACAAATCAACGCCAATACCACTGAAAAATTAGCTAATGTGGCCGTCTAAGCTAGAGAGGACACAAGGATTAAGACTATGGAAAATGGTGTGCTCTTTATGCTGATATGGAGAAGATCTGTGTGCATTTTCTCTTTATTTTGCTAATATGGTGTTTTATATTTGTTGATTTTATTTTATTTATTTTTTAAATGTTTATTTATTTGTTATGTATACAATATTCTGTCTGTGTGTATGTCTGCAGGCCAGAAGAGGGCACCAGACCTCATTACAGATGGTTGTGAGCCACCATGTGGTTGCCGGGAATTGAACTCAGGACCTTTGGAAGAGCAGGCAATGCTCTTAACCTCTGAGCCAGCTCTCCAGCCCTATTTGTTGATTTTAAAATAAAAAAAAACCAACTACAAATTCTTGGAGCTAGCTGCTGCTGGTTACAGTATATCATGTCTTACATATTGCAAGAAGGAATGCAAGACTAGGAAGAGTTAGGTATATGACACTGGCAGCCTCTAGGAGGACCAGATTTGGAGAGAAAGAATGCAAAACACGTACAAGGTGAAGCAGGGCCCAGGCTCCTCAGTAAGTGATTGTCAGCACTGTTGACATAGAAAGCAGAAATGAAAGAGTACAATGTGGTGGAGTTATCACATGACCTAGGCTTCAGCTGAGATCATAGGTTTAGAAATAGAAAATAAGTAATAGATCATTTTCCTGTCTTTTCTCTTTTTAAATTCTTCATAGAGGGTACATGTATTCTCTTTATAAAATCTTAAAGCGTGGAGAAGTATATGAAATAGAAAATAATAGTTTGAGTTGGGGGATGTAGCTAAGTTGATAAAATGCTGGCCGAGTTCTCATGAAACTGTGGATTTGATCCCAAACACTGAACAAAATTGAGTGTGGTAGCATGTCCTGTAATTCCAGCACTTTGGTGGCAGGCTGATTAGATGTTCAAAGTCTACTACATAGTGAGATCAAGGCCGGCCTGGACTACATTGAGACCCTGTCCCCAAATAAACAAACATCAACAAGCCAGACATAGTGCAGTTGTTAATTGTAGGTTACATACACTTAATATTTGGACCAGTTCTGCTAAATGTCCCTTCAAAGCAGTGTTGGACCAATTTATATTCCTGGCAACAATATTTGAGAGTAGCAAGTCTCCATATCCTTACCAGCTGCTTCTAATTCTTGAGTTTTATTGAGTTTCCTAGGCAAAGTAGATAAATCAGGATAGGTGAACCAGTCAATAAAACGAAACGGTACTGGTGTTTCCTGCCACAAAATGAGCTCAGACTCGGTTTTGTCACCAGCTAAAAGGTTCCTAAGTTGTAGCGTTATAAGTTTACATTTGTGGCGCACAAAGAACATATTTGTAGACAGAACTGCTCAGACCTCATCATGTGTGGCACATCGAAGTCTTCTTATGCTGGGAAATGCTAGGCAGCTTTTTAGCACTGTAATTCGGGCCCGTTTTAAATATGGTGGAGTCACTAACAAAATCTACAAAATTGAAAAAAAAAAAGGTTACATTTATTAGACTGTGCACGGGACAATTTCTTATAGTATGAGAACAGACTGGGAAAGCAGATTCATTTTGTGCAACCTCTGGTCTACCTTCAGTGACTTTTTTCTTTTTGTTTTGGCTAAAGGAGAATTGAATTTATATTTTTAATTTTCCGCTAGAGATCGACCCTAAGGCCTTGACAGGCAAGTACTCTACCACTGAGCATGCATTTGCCATCACTCAAGATAGCAAGCCACGCCGCAGACGCAGAACGTTTCTACGTTTTAGCTGCACTCGGTTAACTAGCGCCGCCCAGAGGTGAAGCGCAAAGCCAAGCTCGAGCGGAAGTGACGCACGGAAGCCCGTCGGGCAGCTCAGCCCGCCCCCGCCTGTGCCCCGCCCCCGCGGCGCTAGCGGAGCCAAGATGGCGACCGAGCTGGAATATGAGTCTGTGCTGTGTGTGAAGCCTGACGTCAGCGTCTACCGGATTCCGCCGCGGGCCTCGAACCGCGGCTACAGGTACTGAGCCGGGTCTGCGCCCGCTGGGGGGGGGGGGGGGGACGACGGGTGTGTCCTTGGGCAGCACGTTCCGGCCCGCGCCGTTGCCTCCGAGCGGTCTCCTGCTTAGCCTGCCAGCTAGGCTGCCAGCGTCTCTCCCCACTTTTCTGTTTTGCTGGAACTGTTATTTTGTTTTCTGTTCTTGCTGCCTTCATGCATCACTCCACCTGTCCTCCCCACCCCCCTTGGGACATCGTCTGCTCGTCGTCAGCCGCATCCATTCATGCCTGCTCCATCTGTTACACTTCTTGCGACCTTTGGCTTGTAATCCTCCACTCGCGTCTGCACACGCACACAGCACGCGCTCTCTCCCGCTCTCCGCCTCCCCCCCCCCCCTTCTGATGTTCCCAGCTCACGCAGTGATGCTATCCACTGTTTGTATGATACAAGGATCTAATTTAATTTACACTGTTGCCATTCTCGCCAAGTGTCATCCTCATTCACCGTTCGGATTTTCCTTGAGGTTTTGTGTGCGTGGGCTCGTGTGCGAGTTTGTGTGTTGGGGGCAGACGTTAAGATCCTGTTTTCCAGTGATTAGCCATTGCGTTTCTTTTCATTTGTGTGTGTGTGTGTGTGTGTGTGTCTATATTATAGCTTTTGATTATGTAGGGATTCCTGCCTTCCTTCCTCCTGGTCATTTCTCCCATAGCTTTTTCAGAGTCAGCGAGGCTTTTTTGCCCCTGTAATCCCGTGACAGAGGGTTTGAGGATGTAGGATGCTAATGGGGTTCAAAGAGAATTCGTTGGGATTTTGTTGAAAACTGTTGAGTCTGCGCCCTGGACGGTAAATAGCTTTATAATTTATGAGCCAATCTCTTCACTTCACCAGGCCTTAGTTCTCTCATTTGTAAAATAGGAAAGGTAATGTATCTTGTGAACGTATGTACTTCACAGGGGTTTGTTTCTTTTTCTTTGCTTTTTTCTTTTCTCTTTCTGCTTTTGTTTTTGAGACAGGGTTTCTCTGAGTAGCCCTGGCTGCCCTGCAGCTCACTTTGTAACCAGGCTGGCCTCAAACTCATCTGTCTGTCTCTGCCTCCCAAGTGCTAGGATTAAAGCCATGCGCCACTGCCCAGCAACAGGGTTTTGTTTTCTTAATGATGTATTTATTTATTTATTTTATATATATGTATGGGTGTTTGCCTGTATGTATGTATATACCTATATACCTTGTACTCATGGAGGTCAAAAGATTGCATCAGATTTCCTGGAACCGGAGTCATGGATGTTTATGAGCCACTACATGGGTGCTGGCAACTGAACCCTGATTGCCAGAGCAAGAGCAACAAGTGTTCTTAACCACGGAGCCATTCCCCAGCTCCCTCACAGGCTTTCTCTCTTTCTTTTTTCTTTCCTGACTGATGTACCATCATGGCTTTTCTCTTGGTGTTGTCATTACCTTTACTGGAAAGTTTTCTTCTCCGCAGCTCCATTTGCTTCTCCCCCAGAGGTTCATTCATCAACAATCAGTAGTTGTGTTTGCAGACCTATGCACTGGGCCCATGGGTTGTATCCTTTGGCAGAGGTAGTTTTCAAGGCGCCGTCACTGAGACTTGACATGCTTCTTGATGGCAGTCACAGGTACTGTATCATGACCCCATTGTACACATTGCCATCTGTGAGATGCTCTACCTGACCCATTTTGGTTTAGGGCAGCTCTGTGTGAAAGTCCACAGCATTTTAGGCTTGCTTCCGTCGCTCCTCTAATGGCTGGTTTAGTTTTCTGTTCTCCAGCTTGAAGTCTGTTAAACTTCGTATCTGTGTGAACTAGCAGGACCAGCATAGTGTCTGGCACATAGTAGGCACTCAGGAAATGCTTACTGAAAGAAGAAATTGGGAGTCATCTCAGCAGATAAGGCTCTTATACCAGCCGGAAGACACGAGTTTGATTCCCCCCAATCCAGGTAAAGGGAGAAGGAGAGAAGTAACTTCACAGACCGTCTTCTGACTGCCACAAATGTGCTGTGGCATGCCCGTGCCCACACACATGCAACACCATACACACATGGATAGTGCATTAAAAAAGAAGAAATTGGGAGTATGTAACCAGCACAATCACATATGCTAACAGTGGCTGTACTGTAAACTATCTCATGACTTCCTTTAGGGGTTAAGACTTCCAGAATGGTATCGTATTCATTGAAGTCCTCTATTTTCCTTTTACATCAAGCCTTTTACACTCCCCTGCCCCTATCCCCTGTCTCCGTACCCCACCCCCAGCCCCTGCCCCCCTGTACTCGCCTTTACTTCAGGGTTTATTCACAGCCTTTATCCTCTCATCAGGCCACTACATTGTCCCATCAAAGCAATTTCTTAATTTTTCTTTTTCCCTTTTATCTTTCTGTTTCCTGTGCATATTTTGACATTTCTTGTTATCTAAATGTTCTGTCATTTCTTTTTCTTTTTTTTTAATATTTTTTTAATATTTATTTATTTGTTATGTATACAATATTCTGTCTGTGTGTATGTCTGCAGGCCAGAAGCGGGCACCAGACCTCATTCCAGATGGTTGTGAGCCACCACGTGGTTGCCGGGATTTGAACTCAGGACCTTTGGAAGAGCAGGCAATGCTCTTAACCACTGAGCCATCTCTCCAGCCCCCTGTCATTTCTTTTTCTTTGTTTTATTTTTAGAGACAGGGTTTCTCTGTAGCTTTGGAGCTTGTCCTGGAACTAGCTCTTGTGTACCAGTCTGGCCTCCAAGTCACAGAGATCCCTCTGCCTCTGCCTCCCTAGTGCTGGGATTGAAGGCATGTTCCACTGCCGCCTGGCCTTATTACTTACTCTTGGAGAACAGTGACTGAAAAGAGAAAAATGAAATTCGAAGCTGGGAGTGGTGACACACATGTGTAATCCCAGCCCTTGAGGGGTGGAGGCACAGGGGTCAGGAGTTTAAGGCTGTCCTTGGCTACTGGAGGTTCTGTCTTAAAATTTGAAACAAAACCAAAACATGTCTAGAGAAAAGACTCAGTGCTTAAGAGCTTTCTGTTCTCTGTAGAGGACCTAGGTTCAGTTCCCAGCACATACAGTGGGAGGCTCAAAACTGCTTGTAACTCCGGTTCAGGGGATCTGAAACCTTCTGGCCTTCAGTCACCTGTACATAAAGAAAAAAAAAAAAAAAACTCAAACTTTTTACACCCCTCCCCCCAAAAAACCCACCACAAATCAAAGTAAGTTTAACTTTATTTTGTGGGAAAGTCACATCTTGAACTTTGAAGATGAACATACTGATACTTAACAAGATATGCTCACCTGGTTGTCATAGGAATGCGTGTAACATGCGTGTAATGTATGTGATGGCATGGCGCAGATGCGTGATGGTTGTTACCTTTCTTCATTTCCTCTCCTTTATAAATGCATTTTGATTGCTAAGGTAAATGAAAAACTGTGAGATTAGTTGTACTTATGTTTTACACAGGGTCTCCCAGTGAAACCCTCTGGCTCCAAACTCCCAGAGATTTGCCTGCCTCTGCTTCCCAGTTGGTGGGACTTAAGGCTTTTGTCCACACCTGGCCTATGAGGTTTGCATATAGTATCGTTAGGAGGCCAGCAGAACCAAGAATTTAGGGGTTTTGGAGAGGGAGAGGAATTAAGGATCAAAGATGAAGGAATGGCATGTATCTATTTATTTATTGAGAATTTGTTAACTATTTAAAGGTACTATATACACAAGATAAAATTACAAGGTACCTGTCCAAAGAAATATATCTAATATGCTTGTTCCTAATATTTCCCATTTATTTTATGTCTGACTGTCAGTGGTATGACTGCAATAAATAATGATTTATTGAAAAAATTAATAGGAGCAAGCAAGATAGCTCAGTGGGTAAAGGTGCTCGTTGGCAAGCCTGACGACCCGAGTCTGATTCCGGGGACCCATGTGACAGGAGGCTAGAAGACTCATGAAAACTGTCATCTAGCTTCCACTGCATTTCATGGCGTGCGTACACCTCCACCCCAAACAGACAGACAAACAAGAAAGCAAGGAAATGTAATGTTTAAAAAAGTGAACCCATGAGGACTTTTGGCATGTTCTAATCTGGATCCTACTCGGGTACTTAAGAATCTTTGAAGGTAGAGCATCACGGGGGAGGGGACGACAGGGCTGACCTTACAGTCCTGCTCAGAAGCTCTGCTGGGCTGGGGTCATATGGTGGAGCACTTACCTAACAAACTGAATCCTGGGTTTGATTCTAAACACAGCAGTGATAATCCTCTGGTTTTTGTTAAGTTTTCCTTTTAACTTATTGTCTTACTAAACTTTCTCTTGTTCAGATATATGGTGTTCTGTCTTTTGTTCTTGTTTTATTTTGAGACAACGCTTTAGTTTTGTAGCTCAGGCAAGCCTCACACGCCTCTATTGCTGAGGTTTCCCTTGAGGTCACACTATCCCTGCTTTTAATTCCGCAAGGACGGTAGGCAGCGCACCATCCTTTCCAGTCTTTGGGTTCATAAGAGATAAATTATTAACATATTTCCCCTTTTCTGCACCCTTAACAAAACATATCTGAATTCAGTGTTTTGTAGTCTTGGTCATAAGTAATATGTTATATTTTACATATAAACGCGGTTCATATAAACGTGGATAACAAGTGTTGCTTGGGCTTTCAGATGGTTGGTAAACTGATTTACATTGCAGATGTCTTTCCTGAACTGTGCTCTCATATACCAGCTGTCTGCTCCTAGACATCTCAGTGAAGCATATTGAAAATGCAAACTCTATCGGCCCAGAAGGGTCCACAAAAGCCTTCCTTATTTTAGTCATGTGGCCTGTTTGCTCAGGCCGGACAGTTTGGAGTTCTCCTCGACTTCTCTTTGTCCTGGTCCCCACACCTAACATTAGCTTCAGAAACTGCCCTGGCCTTTACTTTACAGCTGGTGGCTTCGGCTCCCGTCTCTCCCAGGCCCTCTCTGACTCATTGCAGTGTTCTTAACTAATTGCCTGCTTTAGCTGTCACAGCCTCACATCTCTTTCCCACACAGCAGACAAAGTAATCCCTGTAGGATCCCAGGAGAACTGGGTCACGTATCTGTCTAGAACCTGGAGCTAATTTTCACTCAGTGTAAGAGCTGCAGTGTTTCTGGTGGCTTGCGAGGTCCTGTATGGTCTGGCTTCTTTTTCTTCTCCCAGCAAGCATGCTTTCACCTTTCAGCACCTTTGCCTGAGCCCTGTGTGTACAGTGTTTCCCCTCAGGCACCCAGAGGGAACCTTCACCTGTCCTACCTTTTTTAAGTGTCTCCTGAGCCACAGGCTTTGGACCAGGCTTACAGTGTCAGGCCTGAACTCCTTGCTATGGAGCAGGCCTCAGATCCAATCAAAAAGCAGGTGGTTGTCTCCATGACCTATGTGCCACCTCTTAGTCCACATTTTTGCCCAGCATTTAACCTTCTTGGTGAGGCTACCAGGACTCCTCCTTTTTGGTGGTGTTGGGAGTTGAACCCAGGACTTGGTGCATACTAAACAAGACTTGACCTCTGAGCTTTGTTCTCAGCTTCCTGTTCACACTCTTGAATCCTGTAACCTGTCTCCATTGTCCTCCTAGGCTTTCTTATCTGCCTCTACGTTTCTTTCTCACCTTAAGCTAAGATACTGATAGTATTATTTATTAGGTTTCCTTTTTGTTGTTTGCCTTCTGTTCAGATGCAACTTTCTGAGGGGAAGAAGGTTTGTTTGCTGTTATATTCTGCTGTTATATAGTGCCCCCCACTTAGTAAGTACCCTGTAAATACTGGTTGAAATCAATGAAAGATATTATATGGTTAGTGATTTCGGAAGCTTCTGTTACTCAGACTATTTCATCTAGCAGATGGACCTTATTGTTCCCTGAGTAATGAAGCATCATTGGATAAAAAGTCATCTCTAGGTAGGAGAGTAGCATCATAGGAGAAACTGTATTTTTCAATTTTTTTTTTTTTTGAGATGGGCTTATTATGTAGAATAGGGTAGCTCTGAATCACAGAGGTCTGCCTGCTTTGCTTCTTGAGTGCTGGGTTTAAAGGATACACCTTGAAACCCAGCTTAATTTTTGTTTATTTATTCTGGTGTTGGGGATCAAATTAAGGGTCTCATAGTGACCAAAGCAAGACTGGAAACCAGCTGGGCAGATTCCAGACTCTGCATTTCCATGTCTGATAGAAAATGCTCAAAACGCTCTTCATATCTCAGTTCAGCATTGTTGACTGTAACACACTTCATTCTCTTGGGCTGGCTCCAGTCCCTGTTAGCAGCTTTCCTCGGCAGGTGTCCCACGACTCTCCATCTCTCGTCTTGGGTTCTCTAGGGCAATCACAGCTTCATGTAATGGCCTCTGTACTAGGCCTCCATTCAGTGACACCCTCACACCTTCCTGGCCTGAGCAGCTTTCCTTAGGCATGGAGACAAATTCCATGGCCCTGTTCTTCTATCCTTAACTCCAGAACCATGTGGCTGAAGTCACCAAGTTCTGCTTTTTTTTCTGTCCTTCACTAAGCATGGCTTTCTTGAAACTCGCACAGACTCAGGGATCTGCCAGCCTCTGCCTTTCTAGTGCTGGGATTAAACGTGTTCCCTGTAGAAGGAACATCGGGCTGCGTTCCTGCTGCCCGGCTAGCTTATGCCCCGAAACAACAACACACAAATTGTATTCATTTAAACACTGCTAGGTTCATTAGTTCTAGCCTCTTATTGGCTAATTCTCACATCTTGCTTTAACCCATATTTAGTAATCTGTGTAGCATCATTATCGGGAAAGAGCTTAACTTGTGTCCATCTCGGAGAGGAGAGCTATGGCATCTGCCTCACTTCCCTTCTTCTCAGCATTCTGTTCTGTCTTCCCCACCTACCTATGTTCTGACCTATCAGGCCAAGCAGTTTTCTTTATTAATTAACCAATGAAAGCAACAGATAGATAGAAGACCCACCTACATCAGTTCCCCACCTCTCCTGGCTCTAAGCTTTTCTTCAGTTCCTTTTCACAAGCTGGGAATTTAGCTGGATGGGATCTTGCCCTGGGATCACCATGCCTATATTCCATTTCTTAATCCATTTATCTCCTTGAACACAAGACTTAGCTCCATTTTACTTCCTGGGGCTCATTTTCTGCCTCAAAATTTACGTTTTGTTATTTACCCTGGTCAGCTTGCTTCTTTTCATTATAAAGCTTTATAAGCATGAAAACTAGTAACCGCACAACAGAGTCTATACGAGGCTGTTTTGAGATTTCTTCTGTCAGCGGAATTAATCCAAAATTCTTCACTTTAGCCTCAGGCAGATTCTTTGGACAAGGGCAAAAGGTAGCAACTTTCTTCACCAAAATATCACAAGAACAATTTCTAGACAACATACTAAAATTCTCCTCCTCTGAAACCTCTTGAGTGAGCCTCCGACAGTTCAAATCACTCTTGGGACCTCTGTCTTCCATGCCTATACTAATACGGCTCATTAAGCAGTGTTTAAGGCACTCCAGTGCTTTCCAAACCCAAAGTACCAGAGTCAGGCCAATCACAGCAGTGCCCCAGTCTGTGGTACCAACTCCTGCCTTAGTTAGGGTTTATATTGCTGTGAAGAGACACCGTGACCATGGCAACTCTTATAAAGAAAACATGTAATTGAGGTGACTTGCTGACAGTTTCAGAGGTTTAGTCCATTATCATGGTGGTGGGAAGTATGACAGCGTGCAGGTAGACCTGGTTACTGGAGAGGGAGCTGAGAGTCCTCCATCTTACAGGTAGCAGGAAGTCGACTGAGACACGGGGTGGTATCCTGAATATAGGACACCTCAATGCCTGCCCCGACAGAGACACACTTCCTCCAACAAGGCCATACCCAGTTCAACAAAGCCATATCTCTTCATAGTATCTCCCTGTGAGATTATGGGGCCAGTTACATTCAAACTACCACAGGGTTTCTCTGGCTATCCTGGAAATTGATTTGTAGACCAGTCTGGTCTTGAACTCACAGAGATTCACCTGTGCTGGGATTAAAGGCCTGTACCACCAGGCCTGCATTAGACAGTAGAACATGAGGCCTCAGGTTAAGAGAGCTTGAGTCATTTCTCATGATTATTTAATTGACAGAAAGAATAGGCCCTCTAGCACAGGAAAAGAGTGAAACCTCAGCACCCAAGAGGCAGAGGCAGGTGGGTTTCTGAATTCAAGGCCAACCTGGTCTAAGGAGTGAGTTCCAGAACAGCCAGAGCTACACAGGAAACTAAAACAAACAAACAAAACAACAATAACAACAACAAAACAAAACAAAGAATTGCCTTTTTCCTTTCATAGGGCGTCTGACTGGAAGTTAGACCAGCCTGATTGGACTGGTCGCCTCCGAATCACTTCAAAAGGGAAGATCGCCTACATCAAACTGGAAGATAAAGTTTCAGGTAAGCGCTGGGCGCCCTCAGACGTGGGAGTGCTGGGCTGCTGTGCTTTTGTCAGTGCTCGCAGGCTCGCAGATCGGGACTGGCACGGAAAACACCTGTTAATCGGAGTTAGCATTTCTTCTGCTGCTCAAGGAGCTCTCTTTCTTGCTGTTAGGGGAGCTCTTTGCTCAGGCGCCAGTAGAACAGTACCCTGGTATTGCTGTGGAGACAGTGACAGACTCCAGCCGCTACTTTGTGATCAGGATCCAGGATGGTACCGGTAAGGGCGCTGGGGTTTCCAGTGGGGTAAGGTCAGGAAATGGAGCGCGCTAATGAAATTGTGTCCCGGTACAGCTCTCGTCCTTTGGTACCTTTTCTACCCTCATCAAAGTTACTATGGTTATCAGAGGAAAGACTAACATTTTATAGATGTGAGCATCAGTTCAATTGAGTTTAAGTTAAATTAATCACAACACTTATTTAGCAATAGAGAACATGCTATAATTGCTGTGGTGGCTTTTGATGGGGTTGTCTTGGATTATCCATTTGAAGGGCAGTAGTTCTCAGCCCTCCCTCCCTCCCTCCCTCCCTCCCTCCCTCCCTCCCTCCCTCCCT